TAGGGCAATAAGTGTCACCTTTTGACCCCATGGAAGCCTAGAAGGAGGCTTTCATGCCCTTTCAGTGTGAGTGTGTATGTATCTTAGGTGTCCTCACAAACATTCAAATAATCTGCCATTCTTAACTTTCTCAAAGCCATCCTGTTTGCTGTTCTTGGAAGGCCATATCATGAGGCTGGAGCTTGCTGTGTTCATATCTTTTGTTTACTCCACAGTTCCAAAGATGACGGAGGAGAGCTAATCTGTTTCACCCTGCTCTGTGTCCATTCCAGTCTTCTGTTGTCTCATTTTATTGCATGGGTTTGTCTAACTCCAGTCCAAAAAGAAATTACACAACATGTTATGTTTATTGTGCTTAGCTTTGAGAAATATAAATTTTAAATTAATTTTTTTCTTTATCATTGGAGTCTGGTGCTGAGAGTATCCATACAGGCCATTATGGTTGAAGGTATTATTCATTGTTTTCATTAAAAAAACCAACAAACTTTTCCTATTTGCAGTTTTTTGGAAACTGCATATGCTTGTGATGAAAATATGCAGTTCTGATTACAAGAACTGCATAATGAGTTGTGGAGCAACTCGTATAACTCAGTTGTTCCACAATCTTGAGTCATACGAGTTGATAAATCAACTCATATAACTTTTTTTAGTTGTGATACTCAAGTGGGCATCCATCTATCACTTTGGCGTCTCAGCGTAACTATTTTATCATCATTGTTTTTACTTATCGTGCTTTAGATGTGTCTGTGGGATCTATGTTAAATTAATGCAAACTTGGGGAAACTTTCTGCACAGTTTTTCTTTTGTACAGTTTTCCTTGTCTGGTGAGTCTCTAAGCAACTGATCGCCACCTCTACGAAAAGAGAAATCTTTTAGTTCTTTAGCATTTTGCTCTCTAGCCTTAATATCCTAGGCTTCAGTCTCCCTGGTATCTCTTCCCATTTTATCACTTTGCATTGTGAAGGCTGGACCTTTGAGATGTAGGAACATACCAGGTTACTTACTGCTACACTAACTAATCTTGTGTCCCTGGTTCTTTGTAATGATCAGTTACACAACACTTTTGCTGTCTTAGTTGATAACAGTGCTCATGAACCAAGGTTAAGTTATGCAGTTTGCATAAAACTTAGAACTTCATTGTGACATGGACTCAATAAGTGGATGCTGTATTAGATTTCTAAAAGCTGCCATTCATTGCAAGTAAATGAAATTAACTAGAGCAGAGGAATCCCCCAATTAGATAATTCTCTTACCACTAATGGCTTTACAACTCTAGTGCAATGCTGTACAATATTGCTGTTGTAGTTCATGAACAACAAATTTACATATGAACTTTAATGGGGCTGAATTCATTTTTAATAAGCAAACTTTGTTTTTTTTTTCAGTTGTTTTTGAGTGTTTCCTGAAATGTCCAGGTTACAATTTGGCTTTGTAACATACAGTAACATGTTCAGTAATTTCACAAATGCATATCTGAGTAAACTCAACCTTGTCTTCTTCTTTCATAAAAACACAGCACGTCTACAAAAATAATAAGAAAAAAGTGGAAGCAAAGTCATTATCTTTGTTTTGTGCACAAGCTATGCAAATATAGTTGGTTTTGTTTGGTTTTGTTTAAGGTTCCTAGTTTTGTAAGATTGCAAGGACAGTGTAAGATTTCTAAGCATAGAGCAGCGCTGGTCACAAGACTCGCTAAAGTGTGGACAATAGCAGCCAATTCTGTCTCTTTTTTTACACAATCAACAGCACTGAGGTTACTAGGGAAGTAATTTTGCTAAGTTAATAAAATAATTTGTATGACCTAAAATCATACGGTGTATTTCTTCCACAGCATATGGCTTGGTAAAGCCAGCACTTTTGCTTATTATTGAACAAAAGACAATAATAATACAGACAATTGCTGATTTTTTTTTTTCCCAAAAGATTTTTTCAACTGCTGTGTTACAAGAATGATAATAAAATTTCTTCAGTCTGAATGACCCTTTTGAATCTTTCTAACTATAGAAAAATATTTAAAAGTTAGAATGATCTGTATTACAAACAAAATAAATTAGGCTCTTTTTGTACTAATACATAGTTTTTCAAAACAACTGGTCAGTCATAGAAACTTATTTATACTCGGGACATATAATTCAAGTCCACCTTTGCATTTGAAGTCCCCCACCTAACATGATCCCCTACGTAAGGTTCAGCAAACATTACTTTAATTAATCCTCATGCTGTAACTTCCCAGCTCAGTACAGTCACTGCTCCCCCTGACCCCCCTCAAGTCTCCAAGTTCTTCTATGACAGTAATTGAGTTGTCAGAGCCATGGATGCTTAGACCCCAGAGCACTGTTCAAGTGGAATTTATTGAGTCAAAGGCCTCAGAGAGTCTAATCCCTGTGCAGGAATGGCTTTGATTATGTCAGCTGCACTAGTGTAGGTGCATGCATGTTGGAACAGTGTATTCGTCTAGGAGAGTTGCTGAGGCTTGTATCAGAACTTTGAAAATTCATCTGCAGTTACATGGGAGCTCTTTTCCATGTTTCAGAAATTCTCATAGGTCGAAAACTTCTGTTAAACTGTTAATCTGTCTCTTACTCCAGACAAGATCCTCTGTTGCACAGTTCTACCCTCCCTAGATGGTGACAAGAGTTTTTGTGGCTTAATGAGGGCTTGCTCGGAGGGTATGGAGCACTATTAATTTGCTAAGTTTTTGTTTTAAGCTGTTTGTGTGTAAATAATGTGCAAATGATGAGTTATTCTTAAATGCCAGCCTCTCAGGCCACACACATATGGAATGCTCATTCACATTGTACAGTCCTTTCAGGGGTATTGGCCTTGTTTTTCTTTAAAGTGGACACAAAGTCATTATAAGCACACTGAAGTTTGAAAGAAGCTTGAAGAAGCTTTTGAAAATAACTTCAATAACTCTGTAATATGGTTTAACATAATATCTTGATCTTTCACTTGATCTTTCATTTCTGCCTGCTTAATTTTTTTCCATGTATACCAACAGAAAGTTTGAATTGTGGATGTTATAGATAACTGCACTGCAGTCAAAAGAGGAAATGTGTCATCCGTTGAAATTTCTTTAATGAAACGTATGCAGCTTTTACAGCAAGATGCCCATTTTAACACTGGAGAAGTTACGATGTAAAGTCACTGTATGAACTGCAACTCGTTCACAGTACTCGTGTGTTTGCATGTCTTGGTTGTAAAGGCTAAGCTATCGTTACAATCTTGAAAGTTTGTGCTGCGCATGAATTTTTAAAATCAAGCAAGCGGTGTGGCTTTTTATGCTTGACACGTCTGTTAGTGACCTGTAGAGGGATCAGTCCTGTTAACTCCGGATTGATGTCTCTTCGTTGATAAAGATGTGGTGCTAATTTGTTGCAATGGAAGGATAGGCAGGAATATATTTTTATCCTTAATTAAAGTCATGAACCACAGAATATGTCTTAGAGGAAATATGAGCTTCTTCTGAAATGTGTGGAATCTGGACACAGCCAATGTGGACTTAAAGGTGGATGTCCAATTCTGCATCATCCAACAGAGCCAGTTGAGTCCAACTCATTTTATCTTGGGGGACCTTTGCTTACGTTTATTGGAGACAGGTCATACTTAGGTGTCTGGCAAAATCCTACCTCTCAGCTTGAGTGGAGAAACAGAAAAGCATTCAGTTGTGCGTGCAACACAGACAGTGAGCCATCTGTCTCATAGCACTTCAAGATGAATTTTTGCTCAAATTTTTGCCAGTTGACATAATGCTTCCTTTTTCTTGGCTTGGCATGGATGCAGATTTCAAACATAATTTGCTAGTCTTTCACTTGAACTGTGATGTAATTCAGTTTCAACCAGTGGGGGATACAATATCTTTCTCACACTTATTTTAGCCTTACTGTTTGCAGCGTGGCTAGCCCATTTCACAAAATGAGAAGTTCCAATTTTTGATCATGACAAATATGCATTTTGTCACTTTTTTTTACTCCTTTTAATTTATTAATGAACAGCTCACACTGTACTTCTAACCTGGGTTCTGATTAACATTACAAGGTAATTTTTCCTACTGGGACAGACTCCACCCACAGCAACACATCTATATGTGGTGAATTGTGTCCACTCCTCTTAATGTAAACCCCACTGTGCTTGCAGTTACAGTTTTTCACACATTGCAACTGCACATTCACCTATGATTAATTTGCAGGTAATCGAGGCTAACACTTGTCCTTGCAGGACATTGCGTACAAGCAGAAATGCACACATTCAGTATAAACACAGCAAGGCCACAAGGGCAACCCAGCAGCAACCGCTAATGCAAACATGAGATAATATTAGCTGCCTCTGAAACAGCAGCTCATGTTTTTAAATACAGACCTGGGGTCATGAACTGCTGTATAAAAGCCCATCACAGTTATGAGCCCGGGCCGCTTGGCTCTAAATATTCCCCGGGGTCTAACTTCAGATCTGGAAATATGCCGGCAGGGTATTTTTGGTTGAGTGTTTACAGGTGCTTGTTTAGTAGCAGCGGCAGTGCCTGGAGGTTAGTAGGCTACCCACTTTAAGATGTTCAAATAAAGTCTCACTGTTGAATTTGTGGTTATTTTAACCAAAGATGGCCGGGACATTGGCGTCCTAAAACTGCCGACCATATTTGGGTTTTGTTTGGTGTTGTAGCAGTAGTAAGAAATTGTCAAATGTTTGCAGATTGGCTTAATTGTTCATGTTGAACTGAAATCTGATTAAAAAACAAAAAACAAAACAAAAAAAACCTTGGTGTACCTTGAAACAGTGACTATCCCATTGTTAACAGCAGGTTGAGTCTGTTTCAGTCAATGTTTGTTTTGCACCAGAGCTTTCATCTCGAAACTTGGAATTTGTAGCCTTTTTTTAAATCATCCACCAGATTTCCTTTTTTTCTCTCTTCAGACTTTACCACTTCACAGCACATTTCTGCGAAGTGGAAATGTTTCTATCTTTCCACTAATGTATTGTTCTCTTGTTCACTTTCTACTCAGGTTCTGCTTTGTACACCCTCTTCTCCAGCCTTAAAAATTGTTGAGAGGTCTCTGAAACCATGGCTGTGGCCGGATGTCCAGATTACTTCCTGCATCATCCGAAATATCAGGTACATACCAATTTCCTGTGTATTAGTTCTAATCTTCTGGAATAAGTTAGAAAGTTCTGTTGTTTGATGAACGACTAAGTGATTTTGGCCAATTTTTACATGACTCCAGGTAGTCGGAGTCATGCAAAGCCAGACTTTAAATGTTCCAGAACCTACTTTACAGGATAACTTACAAACCTTAATCAAGAGAAAATTCACACCAAGGACCTGAATTGTGTGTTTTTCTTTTTTTCACTCTTATTTCACTCTCTCAAGCAGCAGACACCGATGCAATTGTTTTTAACTTCAGCTACAGAACATGTGCATTTATGCAGCTTCCTCTTAAAGCCGTGGGAAGACCCATGCTGAAGCTTTTACTTGGCTGTCCTTAAAAGACTGGGTTTTAGCCTTCAGATGCAGGTGGACTGCTGGGTTTTGACCTGCAGATCTGATTCCCCTAAGTTGAGCCATCCTCTCACTGAGCTGTTGTTAAGTCTACCTTATATAACAAAGTGGAACATAAACTGGGCACCATAAGAACCTTACACCAAAGTCTTCCCCAAAATTGTAGAATTGGGGGAAAAGCTAAATGAGCAAATTTAGAAAGTAGCTTCAAACCAGTAGCTAAATGAAACCAACCATCAGTCTGATTGAAAATCAGCCTCGCTTTTAGAAACCTGAAGAAATCACGGGACTTGGAGTGAAAAAATTGTTTTGTTTTTTTTATCATCCTGTTGATCATTCATAAGCACCAGGATACAGAGTAAAGAACATGGTTGTAGAAAAGGCATGCTTTTGCATTTGAAAAGTGGTGCTATTAGCCTAGCCTGGATATTGTTGGCCTCATCATCCTGGGTTAAGGTACCTTTTGAACCAAGAGAAGAAAGTCAGCAAGTTCAACCTGAATGAGATGGAGAGTTTGGTGTTAATGCCCAGACCCTAAAGAGCGGCAAACCCAGGAACTGCTGGACGCTGTGTTTGGATGTGAATGTGTATCCTTGACTGGGCATTTGAATATTTGTGGAAGAGTGAAGTTTCATTTGCTGTTCCACAGAAGTAAACATTTTTTTCTATTTAATTTTGTAGGCCTATAAATAGCATTAATATATTGACATACTACCACCCATAATGTTTATTCATTGTGTATTTATAGTTATAATTTTGTTTTTGTACTTGGATCATTAAAAAGTTGCAGGATGTCTTTCAGGTAGAGTAAATACAAACAGGTTTCCAAATATTTTGAACACAGAAAATAAATAATATGTGGTCTTGGGTAGTATCAAAAAGAGCAGACTTATAACTACAAAACCACTCTTCTCCAAAGAGAAGCGTGCTTTATCACAAGCAATCTCTCTTAGGATTCTTGAAAATAATTTACAGCCTTCACAATAATAACATTTGGTTTGCCAGTCAGTGTTGCTCACATGATCAGCATGTTGTTTTCCAGTCATTCATTATTGTTGCAAATATATTGATGAACATGATGGCAGTACCAACAAAAACATAAGCAACAAAGCTCATACACATTTTTGGATGGATTGGTATTGATGGTTCATCAATCAGACTGCTGTGCCAGATTTCTCTTCCGGGTTTTTTTTAAAGGTTTCATGGTTAGCATTAAGATGATTAGCATGTTGAGTATTGTAATAAACTATGTAAATTCAACAAAGTCATGTCTGTATTTTATATCTGAATCCAAAACTGCCAACATTTCCATATCCTGAATTTTCTATCAAATACAAAGGGTGAAAGTTGGAAAGCATCAAGCAGCTCAGTTTTACTGTGTGCTGCTCATCTTCGGAAAGCCTCGATTTCTCACATCTCTCTCACAATCTCGATAACCTGTAGACATATCTTGAGATTTGATGGAAAATAGCTTTTCAATTCTTACATATCCCTGCTTTCCCCTGACTTTGTTTTGAACACTTTATGGACACATAATGCAGCTAAGCTTCTCAAGTCTTCATTCAGTCATAGCGTCCACACTAAAGAGTTGAGTTTCCACTGTGACCTGGCGACATTCAGTGTGACGTGTTCACCGATCAGAAAAATGTTGAATTCTTCAGGTCTGAAAATTTAGTTGCAGGCAGCGGATTTCTCTCTGAATCTTTTATTGCTACAAAATTTCCCTGTGGGAATGTACGGTCTCATATCTTGTGCCCGAGTAAAAACATTTTTTCCGAACTTCCTCTCTTGCATTTTATGGAAAGTTCTGCAACAAAATCTCTTTTATTCCATTTCATCTCCTCTCCATTTCTGTCAGAAATGATGCCACCACAGCACCAAATAGCTCATAACATTTTGATGGATTCAGAAGTTATCCACAAGTTTAGTTTATAGACACAAAGCATTTTGTTCAGTTGAGACTGAAAGATTTGAGTTCTTGGATAGAGCTGGGCATCACCTTTTTTATTTTATTTTATTTTCTCAACAGTTTGGGTCGGTGTACGCAGGGTAATGTACACTCTCGTGTGCACAGTGCACAGAAGCAAACATGCATTGCAGTCTGCATGCACAGAAACCCTCACTGGGCTGTTTACAAACCATTCAGCTGCAACAGATGTACCTTGACTTGCTGAATGAGAAAACCCATTCAGTGTGAAATTCCAGAGTTATGGAAGATTTCTTTCCTTGATAAAACTGCAGCCGCGATCCAAAACAGATTCATGTGAAGATAGCATTGATACTGAACGGGGGGGATTGTTTTGAAACGTTGATCTTTTTATGAAGTGAATACATTTTATGCAGGTTCTAATTTGAAATAAAATGGTTGGTATGGGGGAATAATTGATGTAATACGTTTTGGTAATATTTTTAGAACTGACAGTGTGACCTAATTCTTCATGTGCTGAAGTAAAACTAAACCAAAGTGAAACACTGAACTGCTGTGCAAGCAGAACGAAGGGAATGTTTGCCAAAGAAACAAGATGTTCTGTAAACTACCAGTCAGCCCCTCCAAATCTTTGTTGGATCACTTGGATAAACATTCACATTTGCTGAGTGAAAGCTGCAGATAGCTGAATCATTTTGGGTTTGGACTAGAAATTACACACGTTACTGAAGTATGTGAACATAGTTTATGTTTGTTTAAAAAAAAAAGATGTAATTAGATTCTGATTCCACTTGATGCACATATATTTGCACATATATTTGTCACAGTTATTGGATTTTGGAAGGTTTTGTAGATTTGGTCACATGTCATTATGGACAAGAAATGGAGGTTTCGGTCCCTTCTCTGAATTAACAATTGTCTTGAATGTAGTAATATACAGTAAATTAGGTAAATAAGACGTCAGTATTGTCTTTCTATATTACATCTCCATCTTATACTCTAACTTAAATCATTTGATCACTAACTAACCAAGGATACCTGGGGAAGTTTGACATGATATAAATATTTAACAGCATGATTGACAAAAGAAAATATATTCAATTTTTTTAAAGTTCAAATACTATTCAAACGCTACTGCAACAACGAGACATTCTCTTATTTCATGCTACACTGTCCACATGCTGTTTTCACTGACTGTGATTCATTCGCCTCAGCTTACCAAAAGCTTGAAAGGGAGCTGCACAGAATATTCATGAACACACACTTAAAAAAAAGGACTTAATAATTCTCAACATGTCTTCAACATCAGCATAAAACAGGTTTTTAGAGATGACAAAATGCAAAGTGCGCCTGAAAACAATATGGCTGCAGCTTTTGTTTTCCCTCAACCCATGCAAATGTTTCCAACTCAAAGTATTCCCTGAATATTTTACTACATTCAGAATTATAGGTTTGCTTACATTTTTTAGATGTTTTCCCCAGTGGATTTTTTTTTTCCTTTTGTTTTTGTGCATTACATAACTCTGGTTAAGTTGAAGAGATGTTTGACAAACTGCAGACTGTGAAAATAACTTGGCAATGTATTGAAATTACATCATTTGACCTGTTGAAACCTTTATTGCTCAACCTGAGCCAACATAAATATAGAACCAAAGGTATTGTTTTGGATCAATTTCAGCCGTTCCCTGTTGACCTCGTCTCTTGATGACCTCAGTACTGAACCAAATCCCAGCTATTACACTGAACCTGACTCTGACATCTTTTAAAGGTGTAGTTTGACATGTAGACCTGATCTTTTTTTGGGTTGTTATTCATTTGAGGTACAACTCAAGTCTCTGCCCTGCTTTCAGGGACTTACCCTTTCCTCTGTCTCTCTTCTGCCCCCTTTCATAAAGCTGTACCCTCAGCATCTTGACTCCTCAGCACTCCTTTAAACCTCTTCAATATGAAAGGGTTTTTGTAAGCTCCTTGTCCAAACATTGTCTAACCTTGGTCCCATTACGAGCCATCTTTAAATACTTAAGCATCACATGGATGTCTGTGTGTTTTTAGTATCGTTGAGCTTTGTTTCTCTGTGACTGTGATGAAAACATGAAAAATTTAAAGGTACAAGCCATCCATTTATTTCTCCCAGCTACATAAAAATGAAAAATACTCATTTTTGTCTTACCTTATTGTGTTTCCTACTTGTAATCTCTTGTAATCTGATGCTGCCTTCTGGTAGCATTAATTTAGCTTTCAATGTTCATTCTAGCTTTTTCTGTTGGTAAGTGAAATAAAAATCTAATTTCTTATGTTTATTTGAAGTTTATTTTCATTCAGCTGTTTATTCCCAGACAGATGTTAATGCTGCAGTAGGGAGTTTTGACAAAAACATTTTGACTAAGCGCTCCCTGCACAATCTGTTCAGGAAGTACAATCCATTAATTTGGCTCATTTGCACATGTGCATAAGAAATCCTAGCAAATTATTCTTACACTGCACATCAACAAAGTATAACACATTTATTTTATCAGTGAACATACTTGCGATATTACCTATTTTTCTAGAGAATCTTACATGTCTTTATGAGTAATTGTCATAATTTAGTTAAAAAGCTATAAGAAGAAAATTGTGTGTTGTTAGCTATTAGCTACCATCTATGCGCCCTCTGGTGGTCTCCTCATGGATGAAAAAAAGTCCTTTATTTTTACAATGATCACATTCTTTTATGAAATTAGCCACATTTTTTTAATCAGATTGCATACCATTTGTTCCTGGAAAGCAGGAACCTAGTATCTTTCTTGATCCTTGATTATTGCACAACGACCCATTTATTTATTAAGCAGAATTGAAAAATGCAGTTAAATCATTTTAAACTTCATTTCTTGTTGTCTTCAAATCAGAAGCAAACAAAAATACCCTCCCTGGAGGTATTTCTGTTAACACATGAGCAAGTTGTCTGATGGCCTGGATTGTGCTTCCAGAACACATCGTGCAGCGACAATCCCTCTCCCTTTGCAATCTTGTCCACGAATGAGGAATTTTTAGAACATCTCTAATACGACTTTCTTTTTGTGTTGTTTTATTCCAACTCACAAAAGTTTCTTTCTGTTTTTTTTTTTTTTTTTTTTACCCATTTCAGCAGGACAACATAGACCGCTCATCCAATCACCGACAGGCTGACCTCATTCGTCCAAGCTTTCAGCCATCAACCAATCAGAATTCTCCAAACCATCACGGTTAGTGCTCTCTACCAAAACAATATTTATAGACACGTATTCTTTGTGTGGCAATGTTTATGCTTCATAACTTTATTAAGAAACTTTAAATTGCTTTTAACAAATATACACGCATGTTGACAGATTTTCTCGCCACAGAAGGATTGGGAGGTTAGTGAAGGAGGGGGGGCAACGGGGCTGCTTATTATTCTCTACTGTACGCCAGACCTGGGTCACTGCCGACAATCTATATTTGCGTTTCTTACACTGTAAACATTTAAGCTGTTCAAAGGGTGTTCTGCATAGACACTGTGTGCCAATTTAATTATCCTGTGTAACTAATTGTGCCATACAGGGTCCATCCATGACAATCGGAGCATGAGATTTAAGTACAATATTGGCTCAGCATGAGAGGTAAGGGCGGGGAGCCTGTGAAGACTGGATCAGTGAATGAGAGTGCTTGGCTCGGGCATGGGGAATAAATGGAGCAGAAATTACATTGTCATTTTTCAGCATCAGGCAGGTTGGATGGAACTCCCAGACAGTGGAATACAGATGACTTTAATATAGCAATGTTTGTGTTCAAACAGCGCAATGTAAATGGTGTTTGTGTGATGATGTGGTAATGATTCTAGCAACATTAAATCATTTATAATTCTTCCTCTATTCTTTTGAATGCATCACATGATTAAAACATGTGATGCATTCACATAGAAGTACCTATAGATTAGTGACAAGACGTATTGTCAGCAATTTGCTCATTTGTAAGCCTACATTTGTAAAACAACAGGAACTGGACATATTCATGAGAAAATGGAGAATGGTACCATGACTCTCAAAGGCTGCCAACTTGTCAAAGTCCAGGATGTTTCATCTCAGTGGTTGGAAGCTCAACAGCACAAGGCAGAGCTTTCCTTTGCTTCATTTATCCTTCCAATATTATTCTGAAAATCTTTCTCACTCACTTTTCACAGCCTGACAAGATGAGACTTAGTTTACTTCTGAATACTTTCTTACATTTCTGTGCTTCCTCTAACTTCATCTGCAAACACCTTGTCTGCAAACTGACAGACATCTTTGTTCACTGACAACTTTGATACACAAAGACAAGTTTCTGCATTGACTGGATGCAGATTTGTTGTTTTGTATTTTTTCCAACCACTGTTCAAGGCCAAAAAGCGTAAAATTGTCAGAATTTAATCAATAAGCGATGTGTTTGATTACTTTCAAATCAAAACTCCACTCCTCTTCAGTTGTTTCACTTAACCACATGCAGACATCTGTATTTGCATGAATTGTAATTTATTATATATTGCCTGTATGCACATATTTCTTATTGCATATTGCTTGTTGTTTCCCTTTAATTTTAACCTGGAAGGCTCCCATTGTTTTCCCTCCCACATTTAGAAACATAAAACCTTATCATTGGGAGGAAGGGCTTTTTTTTTTATCTGGACGTCTTGTGCTCCTTATCTGAGATAGTTTATTGTTGACTGTAAAACTTGGTTGGCACATTTTTTTATTATGTTCTCACATATGAAATCGTATATTTTTTAAAAAGGTGATGTATTACTGTTTGCGTTGACTGTGGCTATAAAGATGTTAGTCAACTATGAGATAAAGTTATCTAAAGAGGACTTTGTGAAGACTGTGGTTTCACTGGCAACCTCTTAGAATGACTAGAATGTTATGTTCTCAAGATATCTTTCTGAGATGAGGCGGTCACATCCTGTTCCTTTTTGTAACAAAATCACTGACGGCGTCAGAATGGCACACGTTGTTTATGTGAAACGATAATGATAGCCTTTTCAAGGCGATGGGAAACTCAAGTAGATCCCTGCTCCTGTGATGGCTCTTAACACTTTTTCCTTGCATGGAGACAAAGTGGTTGTGCCAATGGAAAAAAAATAAATAAATACATAAATATATATATATATATATATATATATATATATATATATATATATATATATATATATATATATATATATATATATATATATATATATATATATATATAATATATATATATATATATATATGTATGTATTTATTTTTTTTGTATTTTTATATATATATATATATATATATATATATATATATATATATATATATATATATGCTCATGCAAACGCAGAACACTTTCAGCAGTTAGTTTTTTTTTGTTGTTGTTTTTTTTACCTTCGCCAGTATTATCGACTTTGAAAACATTCCGTCCACATGCCATGATCATCCTTTCACACATACATTCCTGCAGCACTTGCTCAAGAAGTAAAGAACCATAGAAAGCCTGGATCTTATCCTACAGGTGGGTAATAAACTCTAAATGGCTGAAATGCTTCCAGCAGCTGTAATAACATTCAGAGCAAGAAGTAGTGTAGCTTCAGCTGAGGTGTGAGTGCAAGCATGCAACCGAAGAAATGAGTTGGCGCTAGTTACCTTAGTACACTACAAGAATGTAATATTCTTGTAGTGTAGACTGCACAGTGAAAGTAGCAATATGTGCACAAAAAAAATTCCTTAGAAAATGACAGGAAACGCCAATTCTGTTCCAGACTAAGGGTACCTCTGTATTTTGTTGGAATATTTTTGTTTGGACCATAGAAAATTAACAAACACAGATAGTCAGGGTCACACTCAACAACTCAATAAATCTCTAATGTTACAAATGATCAATCTCAGATAGGATGCATGTTGTCTGTCCTGTCTATTGCAATGATTTTCTGAAAGTCAAGCTTTCAAATTGTTGACGTGAACATCTACCAACCTTGGTCTTTCAACTTATTGGGATATAATGTTCACTCCAATAAAAATGTAAAACATTGTGTTTATATTCAAAAGTAGAAGAAAATATGCTAACAATGTTAATAACAAGAAGTGCTTTTATTTTGAAGAACCATTCATGTTTTTATGTATCTTGTAAATTGTCCACTCTTTTACTTACAGAGCAAAATATAGATTTAGTGGCCATCCGCCTCCCTACTTTGAAACAGACGATGGTCTGCAAGATCATTTGGAAACCATATATTAAATCTGTATTTAATGTTCCAAGATTTAGAATACATAAAAAAAAAAAAAGACTTTGGGAATGATCTAGTGCTTGGTCAAAAATAAAATACAATTTCAGAATAAACTTAACAGAAGGAAAAAAAAAAGGCAATCCCATGTGTCATTGTTGGAATGGTGGTCTCAGGCTTGAAAGTCTCCCCTTTTCCACAGCCTGTATAAGTGATCATTATGGGGAATAACTTCTGTTTTAGTTTCATTGGAGTGTAAAATCGGGGTCTTTTTCACTGAGTACAGTTATAAACTGTAACTTGGCTTTTTACATTGTATTTAAAGTTAATGACTCTTCCTCTCTTGGTGGCCTTTTAGGCCGTGCAGAGGACTTTTTTTTTTTTTGTCTTCAGGCAGGACCTTTCTTGGTTGTTAAAAGAAAAAAAAACAACATTCCTTTCTATACATTCTCAATTTAAAAAAGAACTTTAAAACAAATATCTAAACATTTCCCATTATTCTGGCATGTAACAAATATAAATGATCTGAAACACAGAAAGTGTAATGATTGTTAAAATAAAAATAATAAAAAGCTTTTTGTCTTTGTGTAACTATCTGGTTTCAACTGTACATCATAGCTGTGGTCTTAATCACTTTGAATGTTTGAATAAAGGCAACGATAAACAAGAAATGAAAGACAAGATGCCTTTACCTCTTTTTATTGGCACGTTCTGTCAAAAACTGTTAGAGTGAACCGATATGCAATGTGCATAATATCACTATGCTGTTTGTATCCCCTTCAATAACTGATAGGAAGGAGCCTAAAGTGATGTTTAGATGTCATAAGGTTGATTATGAGACACTAAATATGCGTCAAGTCCACAGTTACAAATGTACAACTCTGCATCTAAATCTAAAGTCTAAGCTGCAGACTTGGATCAAAGAAAACGATTCACTTTTTTCAGTTGCAATTAAGCCCAATATTACCCTTGAAAGATTGAAAATGTAAGTTACCCTACAAAGCATCCATATTCCTTCTTATAAAAAGTAATATTACAGTGCATTACTTTCACCCTGAGCCTAAGTATGAATAATTAACTGTATACTACATAGATACATGCCCCGCCCTGTTCTTATCCCATGCTCCCCCTCCCCCCGGTTTGTCCTGTTCACATTCTCCCTCTGCTCCTCTTTGACCATCTCCCTCCCATCTGGAGCCTTGGCCCACAGCGGGTGTGTGTGCAGTCACCAGAGGTATTGTAGTGAGCAACCCCGAGCCATGCTTTTACAGTGCACTTGCTCTGGCATCTCTCCCACAGATTGCCTTTGAATAGAAACCCCTTTGCATTCATGGGCCGTTGATCCCCCTTAAGTGTGTGTGTGTGTGTATGTGTGTGTGTGTGTTCAGTTTCTGTACTGTAAATGTAAACCCCCGTACTCTCCCCTTTTTTCTGTGGGAGAAAGACCCCTCCTTTTTGTTTTGAACTTGAGGGAACAAGTCCAGAATCCATAGTCTACATCCCAGGCTTAAGAAGGGCTATACGGGGCTGCCCTTCTCAACAATAGTCATGTTTTTGTCCATCACTCGCTGACTGATGAGCAAAAAGACATTCAGAATAAGCTTGATTCAAATTGTCACCAAGCTATTCCTCTTCACAGTGTATCACCGTGGCTTAGGTGAAAAATCGATGTAAGCTGTGTTATTTATAAAACTTACTTGCTGGCTGCAGATGTTCAGAGGAGTAAGGAGGGGGTAATCCTTTCAGAAGAAAGCGGCCGTAAGGGATTCAACTTATGAGAGCAAGAACTGTAATATCATCGCTGTCTTATGAAAAATCCAGGTTTTATATTTAGAACAGACTGGCGCAGTGTTTGTAAAATAAAACCGTAGATGGAGTTCAGTCACAGAGCATAGTTAAGTCTGGGGCTGCATGATAACAGAAAAAACAAATAGTTGCAATATAGTTGCGGGAATTTTAGATGAACTTACTTTTTACAACTTTACAACTTCAGATTCAAAAACGTCATTGTTTTTAATCCTATACATTCTTGCCTTCTTGGTGTCATCAAACTGTCCTTTACTTGTTGTGCAATCATGAGATGCACCGTTGACTTCAACTGTGTGCAAACAGTTCTGCTAATCCAAAGGCCAAAGTAGGTGAGAACCTTTTTCTTCTGTTATTGCTTACTAGCTTAAGGGGACATGGCTCAACTAAGGAGAATACCAGATGCAGACCGATTGATGTGTTCAAGTGAAGTGAGAACTATGTGCTAGACATTAGACTGATTTAGACGTATATGAGGAAATGTATTTGTTTTAGCCACTCTTTGCAAGTTTGGCAGCTCTGCTCTGCTGCACTGATGTCTCTTTCTCCTTCAGTCTGACTTTTTATGCAGCATGTGTCTAGTGGTATATAGCTCTTTAGCTCTCCAGGTTATCTATAAGTAGCTGCTTCAGCTTTCCTGTCACTATTAATACCCAGAGATTAACCACCTGTGACTCACAGGCACCTGTGGTACGACTGCCTGACACGTTTTCAGGAAAATCTCCGCTAAGACAACACTAGAGGTTTTAATGGGTAGCTTGGAAGAGAGAAATGAGCATATTTACCGCAGCTCTGAAAGCTCCGGCTGCTGTTGTTCCCCCAGGCCTTTTTCTTTTTTCTTTTTTTTTTTTTCCCCCCTTAAAAAAGAAAGCTGTTGTATCTCTGCAGTCGCTTTGAAGCCCCTCAGATGCAACCTGAAACCTTACATCCATCAAATTACTGTTTGTGTTTCCTCAGTCAGCCTTTCTGCTTAGGAATGGGACTTTTACTAACTTTAAAGTGGCCTGACATCTGCAGCCCCTCATATGATACAGCTGTTTGAACCCAGAGCTGTGAAGTCGCTGAGCTAGAGCTTCATCTAAATACACCTGAGAACTATTGAATGGTTAATGTACACAAATCAAAAATGTGAACATTAAATTCATTCATTAACCAGGTAATAAAAAAACTTTAAATGTTTTCTCACAAAATTAGAGTATTATGTAAAACTATTTATTTCAGTCAAATGGTGTTCTTACCAAAATGGCAGAATATGAAAAACATAAAGTGTGTCATGGAGATGACCAACCTGAAAACAACAATCTGCTTTGGTTCTGACTTTCTCCACTCTTCTCCGATGTTGTAGGACGTTGACTGCCAAAATGAAATTCTACATTTATTTTCACGTCTATGACGGATCTTAAAGCTCTGACTCCAGCTGCGATACCCATCCTATGACTCTCACCCAAATTCTTGAATGGACTTCCATAAACAAACCTTTCTGATTCTGGGATCATTACTGTCGCTTGTGCACCATTTTCTCCAAAATTGTTTCCTTCCACTAAACCCTCCTTTTGAAAACAGTGGATACAGCACTCTCTTAATAGTCAAGTTCTTCAGGAATAACATTTTGTACCTTCCTCTCATTGTGGACAATGCCAATGGATGAATTTTAGTGTCTATTTCAGTAAATTCTGATGACTGTTTTGCAGATAATGAAAACAAAACTGTAATTGTGGAACATTTTTTATAAATTCCTCTTTAGAGGTCAGACAATGCAGGCAGCCTGTATGTATATTTCTTCTATTCTGCAGGATAACAGGTCTAATTGCTTGGGTAGTTTCTATCCCCGATTACTTTTCTGGAGTTTCAGGAGGAGTCTTTTTTTATGAGTAGAGATTGTCTCCCTCTAGTGGCGCACTATTTGTGCAGCTGCATACTTGTGAAGTATGAATACGCCAGCTTGATGATAAACTCTTAAAGATTTCTTCTTTTTTCTTTTTTTTTTTTCAAAATGAATACCTTGTTAAAAAATTAATCACCAGTGCAGTTCGTAATTTAAAATTGAGCAAAGTTAGACACCCATTTCAGCCAGATGATGAAAGTTTTATAGCATAGAGCAATTAGATTAGAATTTCCCCCTCAGCTGAGATGACACTTCTTGAATTTAAATGTGCTTAGAGGTTTTCCAAAGGGCTTTGTAGGATAGATTCCTCCTCCGAGAAGAATTTCTCATCCTGACTTCTAAACACATTTAAAAGCTGGATGTTTGAAACGTGGTGAATTGAGAGCCAAGGCTGGCTTCTCAGCTCGGAGTCCCAGTAGTAAGGAGTTCAGAAGTGCAACGGGCAGGTTTGTGCCTGCACCTGATTTCTCTGGAGATTAGGCTCTCTGGGCAGAACAATGTACGTAGTCAAGACCGTCTTTCTGATGAAGCAACTGGGCAAAACTGGGTCGCTATCAGTGTGTTTCTATGTGGTCTTTTGACACACCTACACACAAAGATCATGAAGATAGGGGAGAAATGAGAAAATACTTAAGACATAGTGCAATCAAAGCATTATCTTGTCTTTTTTTAACTTTTTGCCTTTAAAAAGTTATTGTCCAACAACTTTCCGACATAAACTGATACCCCGGAAAAGGAGAGCCGTAATCAGTGAACTGGGCCAGAATCCCACGGTAACTCTGAAAGAGATTCAGAGATCTGCAGCTCAAGTGGGAGAAACAGGTTTTTTTACGCTGCCTAAATCTGAAACAACTTCCCCGAAAACTTGAAATTTTCAGACGCAGTTATGTACTTTAAACGTGGACTGAAAATATCTTTGCTTACTACACCTTCTGATCAAAGCAGCCGACTAATGAACTGCATGAAACATTTGTTTCTTTCATGCCTTTAGTGTCTGCATTTTAACATTATTATTTCATGCCATGCTTTTGTTTTCTTTTTACTCTTTCCTTTGATGTTTTATGAAGCACTTTGAATTGCCTTATGTATTAATGGTGCTAAATAAATAAACTTGCTTTGTTGTGCCTCTAGCTGTGCTCTCTGTAAGTCTGGTCCTTATGGAAGAATGGCAGGAAGAATGCATTGTTGAACAACAGCCACTAAGAAATCAAATTTTGCAGTTTTTTACAAACTATGTAGGGAACATAGAGAGGAGGTGTTCTGGACAAAAATGTAACAATCTGGAAGAAAACAAAATATAATTTGGAGTTTAATAAGTTTTATGTGTGAAGCTTATGAAAACTTTTGCAGGGTACGGTTTGTTGCCACATTCCCTCGCTGATGTACTTTTTTTTTGTTTTTTTTTGTCTTTTGCCTGTCAGATGATGACGTCGACTTGGAGGCCTTGGTGAATGATATGAACTCTTCGCTGGAGAGTCTGTACTCCACCTGCAGCAGCCAGCAGACAGAGATAACCCCGCTCCTGCATAACGGACAGAATGCTTGTTCACAACATCATCCCCACCATCATCATCATAATCATCATCACACACAACACAGCCAGCCAAGGCATCACCACGCCTCCCCAGAGCCTCCATCGTCCTCTTCTGCGAATGTGGACGCCCCTCAGACTAAGCTCAGGCGCTCGCAGCCCATGCACATCCTTGCTGTCAGGTTAGTTGGGAGATAAAGGTTTTTTTTTTTTTTTAAACCTCTCTAAAATCTGTTATGCAGCTATCAATGTAATAGTAGATCAAAACAGTTCCCTGTCACAGATGAGTGTTATTACACATCAGATTTTGTTATATAAAGATAAAGAAAAAAAAATCACTAATTGTTATTCCACGGCCTGCCGGAAGGCAGTATACATGATTACTGGCTTTTGTTCTTCATGCTAAAAGATTTAGCTCTAAGAAATGTCTAATTTAGGTCTCATCATTTTGCAGAAAATTGATTCATTGAAAGTTAGCTTTTTTTTTTCTTTTTTAATTTTTCTACAGGGAGTTGTGTTGAGAAATTGTTTGGAAGCACATTCAGTAGCAGACCGTTATAGGTTCAGTTGATTTGATCTTAATTTCAGATTATATGAATTTACTTTATTCATATAATCCCAAATAACACCAAAAAAATAAATACAATTGAGGCACTTGACATTCATTCCTTTCAGTTCAGTCACAATTAATTTTATATTTCACCAAGAAAGTCCAATATTCCAGCAGATGTGATTGATTTGAGCACCACAATCCCCTATTAAACTGACCAAGTACAGGGCAACAGGAGGAAGGATTAACTTAAAAGAAAAACAATAACAAAAAAACAGAGCAGGAACAGAATCAGGCTCTGAATCAACAGTCAGCTGCCTTCAACATCACATAAAGAATAGACAAAGACAGCTGCTGATTGTTGGCAATAAGAAACTGCAGAGTGAAAATAGAAAGTTACAAACAAAACATGGTTGAAGTAAATAGAACATAAAATGTGTTAATCCACTCCTTTGTTGGTTCGGGGTCCATATCAGGAAAGTTGACGGCATACTTAACTTGAGCCAGACTGATATTTAACCTGGCCTTGAAAGTTGTGACAATGTCTGTCCTTCTGTTCTGAACAGAACCTGATATCGAGACTGTCCGATGCCTTAGCAACGCCAAATAAACCTGCAGCGTGAGAGTCAAATGCTCAGTCAGGAATATGAGAAACTGAGTCATTTGAAATGAGATTGTAATTAAGAACAAGGACCTGCTGCATTTTCAACTTTTATGGGTTGGATACAACACCACTTTGTACCCGACATAGGGTACAATGTGTTTGTTTTCACAGGTGTGACTTCTGCAAATGACAAAAATAAAAATAAATAAATCTCAAAACGTAGCCTGACCAGATGATCAGTCAGTTTACCTCTAATTTATTAGTCAAGAACAAAAATTCAGAGTTTTAGTGAACTGTTTTTGTCTGATAAATACTCCACATCACCTTTATGCAAGTATATTATCTTCATCTTTTGCAGCAATAGTTATCACAGATCTTTGTTGGGAGTGATTTTACAAGCCCACTGCACATTTTCCTGGTAGAAACATTCAAGCTCATTCAGACCTGAGATGCTTCGCTGAATTCGGGCTGAAACTTGAGTTGTGTCACTGCAGACTTGTGATTTTGCCCCTGAATATTGTCTCGTTGAAATGCACATTTCTACTATCCCCTTTATCCTTAATCCTGTGACAAAAGACTTTTCTGTATATCCATCCATCCATTTTCTAACACCCTTGTCCCAAGTGGGCTCAGGAGGGGTGATGGTGCCAATTTCCAGCAAACGTTCCGGGCGAGAAGCGCGGTACACCCTGGACAGGTTGGCAGTCTTTCACAGGGCAATACAGAGAGACAGGACAAAGAACCATGGACACACATTCTCACACTTTCGGAGAATTTAGTAAGACCAATTAACCTAACAGTCATGATTTTGGACTGTGGGAGGAAACCGGAGTACCCAGAGAGAACCCACGCATGCACAGGGAGAACAGGCAAACTCCGTGCAGAAAGACCCTGGGCTGGGAATTGAACCCAGGACCTTCTTGCTGCAAGGCAACAGTACTCTTTTCAGTATAAAATATTCTAATTTCTCGGTTCATTTTACAGACAAACATCCTCATGATATCTTTAAATGATCCCAGTTCAAAGCTTGTGCTAAATGAGTGACTGACTGCTTTTCCTTGATATCATACAAAACAATTTAATATTCGTTGATACAGAGAAGAACATTTTGCATATTGTGATCCAAGTTTCATTCAGGTACTTTTTGACAAACTGTGAGTGGATTCATCTTTCAATCAATAGCAGTTTTGTTCAACCACTCTACCAAAAAACCTAGTTTTTAGAGACATGCATTAACATTTAGCTTAGCGTAACTTATTTTTAAACATATTCACATTCAAGTACAGTTTAGATAACCTCATTGTAACTATTTGTCTCAAAAGAAAGTAGGCAAAAGTATAAACTTATTTAACCCTAGCCTCCTTATTTGATATTTTTTCTACTTTACGCAATAATCTTTATTTAAGAAAAACAAAAACATAAAAGAAAAACTATAAAAAAACAGTACAGAACATTTTCACTCAGGAAAGAGACGTAACATACCCAAGCAATTTCATTTAAGCATACTTCCACCGAAGACAAACTCTCTGATTAAAGGTCATCTGTCTTAATCTCAGTAAGATTAGCTATGTTTTTCTTTACCTTGAAGTATTCTTTTCTTGATTATGCAGTTAAACTAAGCAGACAAATGCTAGAATTCTGGTTTACACCACTTTTCTACGACACACTAAGCTGTTCTTTAAAGCGCTTCATATGAAACATTGTGTGTTGTTCACAATGTTGCAGATCTGTTACACCATTTATCTGCATTTTGAACCTCGTGGCTTTGTTTTGACAGGGAGACCTTAGACAGAATTTGTGGGCCTTCTTGATGACGTTAAGAGATTACCCTTAAGCACAAGTGGATTTCACCGAAGGTTGCCAGATATGTGTTTAGAGTCGAAGGATGCCTGGCAAATCCCTTGAAAGAGTCATAACAAAGGGACAAACAATCTGGGGAAGCTGTACATGACATCTTACCCAATAGATCTTTTCTTAATTGGCTGTAAAGCCTAATCTGCAGGTTGTTTGAAAAATTACTGGTGAATTTTCATATTTTTTTAATGTAAACAATTGCAAAATACATTTTTGCAATTTTTAAGATAGTGGGCGTGGTTAACATGAGCGTCTCTGTGGATTGCCTGTGGAGTAAGTAGACCGTGGCATTCCCCAAAAACTATAAATTGAGTATCTCCCATGTTAGACAGAATCTGACTATTCTAAAGAACAAAACAGAGCAACTGCATGTTGTTTACAATGTCTAAAGCTGCAGCAGATGTCTTGAGAGAATGTGGATGTGAAGAACATCACTGACTTTTCCTACTAATGTGTATATTTTTTGCTAAAATCCCTAACTTAAACATCGGATGTCACCCTTCGTCAAATCTCAGTTGATGGAAGATGAATATGGAGTTAGAGCATTTCTAACAGAGCCCACCAAACAAAGTTGCTTGTTACTTCTTAGCCATTATTTAAAGTTAGTGGAGCATTTTGTAATAAGTCAAACACTTTTGCTTGTGCTTTTTGTATTACCTCGCTGCTCTTTCTGTTTGTTGAGTGGACTGATACAAAACGCATAATTTTTACAGGACACTCCCCCTTCAAACCTTGCATGTGCACTTTTGTCGCGAAGCGTAGTCCAGCTGGAGAAAAAGGGATTGTCGGAAACCAGATGTATTTTATTATGGCAGACTAAAAGAAGAGTCAGCATCCCCCAGAAAAACTACGTTTTCCATTCTCGAAGCTTCTTGCGCTTTTGTAGTTTTGTTCACCAAGAAGCACACGGAGTGTGTTCAAAATGTTGGATGCCGATCACTTGACTGTTTCTCTGTCCGTCTCTGTCTTTTTTTATTTAGTAGTTTGATAAAGAAAGTACCGTATATCACAATGTCAGATTTTCACTTTCAGAACTAAGAAAAAGTCTAAAAGTGAAACTACTGGTATACTGCTGGAACACCAGAAAAGGCTTGTTCAAAGTCTAAAAAGTGCTTTATTTGTACCTGTGGCAAGAAAAGTATTGCAACAAACTTCAAGCTGAAACTGCTTTCAGCCTCTCTGTGCTCATACACAGCCACATTCTGATGCATAGCTCAAGCCTTTTTTCTCCCCTCATTTAAGAATAAAGCTTTCTCTGCACACTATCATCCTTTCACGCCCTCTTTATAATTGGGTATAACGTTTCTTCCCTGTAACCTGTGAATGACCCGTTCCTCCCTGTCACTCCTTCTTTGCCTCAGACTGCACCAGCAGGGGGAGAAAGTAAAAACTCGGATTTGTTTGAGTTCTCCTTACGCGTGTGCATTCAAAAGTAGTGGTACGCTCACACAGGCACGCACGCACTCACCCACAATTCGACCGCAGAACTGCAGCTTCACGCATACATTACACACAAACGGGTTCAAAGGGAAGCTGGTGTCAGTTCCTATTTTTCGCCCTCGGACTGTATGAGAGAAACAGAGGGGGATGATCAGGTAATGGAGTATTCTTTCTTATGAGTGCTCTCTCTCCCTCTCTCTGTGTGTGTCTCAAACACACACCCACACGTATGCAGGCTCCGGAGTTCCTATTATACAGGACTGACCTCTGGATAACCCTACTCTCAGGCTCATATGGGACAACATCAAAAGGCCTGATCCCTTTTGAACTCACTGGGTTCTATAGACAAAGAGAATTGGAAAAAAGAAAAAAAAAGCCTATTGCGATGATTTTTTTTTTAAACTTCCGATCTGAAATTTCACTAACTGACCTGCTCATTTAAAAAAAAACAAAAAGACTAAAACCCATCTGTCAAATAATCCTTTGAGGCTTCGACTGCATCTGTTTTGATTAAATAAAAAAAAAAAAAATCTGCTTTAATGTGATGTCTTGATTTAGAATTGATGTATGATAAATATTTCAAGAAATTAGTGCGCAGGCTACGGGAGGCTGTGGTTTCCACTTGTTTCGGGAACGTTCATTACGGCCAGATCAGACGGAAACACAGATGAGATCGTCTACCGCAGTGGGTCTCTCCAGCACAAATTTCCCATGTTTCAGCAGCTCATTTAAAACTTTTCCCATTTCACTTCATTGGAGGCACATCCAGGTTGTGGTTTTTGGCTTTGTCTTTCGTTTTTGTCCTGTTGCTTAAAAAAAACAAGCAAAAAACTGCTAACTTCACAAAGGAAAATTACGACACAAAGGTCTCTGTTCTGTTTTTCGGTGTTCAGGAAGTTGCAGGAGGAGGAGCAGCAGTTCAGGACGTCGTCTCTCCCAGCCATTCCCAACCCTTTCCCTGAGCTTTGCAGTCCTGCAAGTTCCCCGGTCCTCAGTCCTGGGTCACTACCTCCTGGAGAATCTTCTTCAGAAAAACATGTGAGTCCAACATCTCGCCCTAACTGTTTAGCGGCACAAGACGCTGTCTTTGTTCAGTATGGTGCCAAGAATTCATATCCCTGTGAAACTTTTTTCACTTTTTGTCACGTTAACCTCAAACTGATATTCTTATTGGAACAAAAATGTAGCATAGTGGCATATTAGAAAAAAATAGAAACATTGTTTTTGACTTTATTTGAAAATAAAAAAACCCTCAAATTTCTCATGCACATTTGTCTTGGGCCCTTTTTAATCTGAAACCCCCAAATACAATCCAGTGTATGGCAAAAACTTTTTGGGTTATGTGGAAAAATACCATGTGTGGTGGAAACTAAAAACACAATGGTTGTTCTTTGGGAAGCTGGTCAGAGTTGATAGAAAGATGGACAGAGCAAAATGCTGGAGATTCTGATAGAAAACGATGCATTTCTTTTTGTCGGATTATCTCAAGCACAATTCCAGGGGTTTCTAAATGCTCTGTTACTATCGACATTGTGAGTCTGAACTGCTGTAGCTCATCTGCTGATGTTTCATTCATAGGCAGTATTCTGTATATCTGAGTTGTAACAGGTACTTATTTTAGCTACTAGTTAACCCGGTGATCAGTATGAACTTTAGCAACTCATTTTTGCCAGGCCTTGAATTGCTGACATGTAATTGGCTCAAGGGCTGTTTTTGATCACAAGCAGTTGCACAGGTGTGCCTAATAAAGTGGTGGTGAAGTGTATAAATAGAATCATTTGGTTGGATCTCGTCTTTTTTTTTTTTGCCTGGTGGAAAAGCTAATAAAGCGAGGAACTAAATGTTTTTGTGTTCATCTACATGGGCACCTGCACACACGTCTGTACTTCTGCTGTCCTATCTGTTACTGGAAGTCGGCGCACCACCCCTCCCACCCACCGTCGTTCGCCCCGTTAATGGTCCTCATATGGAAACAGCCAATTCTGGTTACGGCAACATAGCGGTTTACAGTAATACGAGGGCAGACAGTTTCTCATAAATACTCCCCCTGGCTCGGATCTGGGGCTTTTCTTTTCAAGGCCTCTACTACTTCTCCTCCACAATCACACACTGCAGTTTCAGTTAATTCACTAGAAGCCAAAACACAAGTCTGACTTCGATGTGCACCGCATTTTGCCCTCTCAGACGTCATCTCGGTTTTCACTTTGTGGATTGATGCAACCTCCCCATTCACTTAGCACCTAAACTTGGAGAGGTTTAGGTTTTAATTAGCATCAGTTACATAAATAAGTGGTGCTCGTTAATGTGGGAATAAGATTTGGAAGCTTCAAATCGTTTTACTTGTCGTTTACTGGGAATGTTTTGGGGATTTTTCTCTTTGGGGAAATTTTCAAGCTTGAGTTACAAGCTGTGGTACAAACTCAGCAGCTCAGGTTTTCCTTATGGTAAATAGGTCAAAGTTTATTGCAGTACAAAGTTGTTGTGAATTTAATGACTTGCTGTGCCCCGGTTGTAAATAAGTAAAGCAGGCTAGGCTCGTAAATAATTAGACGCCAGTTTATTGTAGCTTGTGGCTCGGGATTGGGAATGTCATTCTCACATGGCCTGTTAGTAGCACAGAAAAAAAACAAAAAACATTGGATTGAAGCAGACAGAGAAATACTAGCAGAGCTAACTAACTTGCATTAATCACACCATGTTGTTATTCATGGCATGGCTCTGCAATCTATTTCAAGGAACTAAATAAGGGAAAACTGTTCTTGTTTGAAGCATCAGTTGAATGTATAGACACACATGGGAACATGATTTTGCTGTAGAATTGTGTAGGAAAAAGTTGTAATCACAAATTATGTTTTTTTTTTTGCTTTCTTACCGGTATCAGAATAAGTGCTCACACTCGTTTTGCTGAATATAAATACTGAAAGATCTCATGTTAGAAAAATAAAATATGATGGACTTTGATAAATACTTCATCATAGCTGACTGCAGAAAGAGAAAAAAAACTGAATTAAAAGATTTGCTACACCATTAAAAGCAACCAAGCTAACCACAATAAATCATCTTAACTGTCGAGGGGCATTGGTAATAAGCCTAGCGCATCACTGGTCCACTCTTCTCTGCCAAATTGTTAGTCTAGGCAAATTGGATGGTTTACGAGTATGAACACTCTGCTTAAAGTCATGTCTCAGCATTTCAGTTGGATTTAAATCCAAACATTGACTATGACTTTCTGAAATCTTTCATTTTGTGTTTTTTTTTTCTTTTTTCTTTTTCAGTTTTTGATAGGTGAACTTGTTTTTGAGATTTAGAAATTGGGGAGATGGGGCAGCTTCCCCTTCAGCATTTTCTGAAAGAAAGAAGAAGTCATGATTTTGCCATCAATTACGGCAAGATGTCAAGTTTCTGAAGGAGCAAAGCCGCCCACACCATCACACGGCCACTGCTGTGTTTGACTCTCTATATGCTGTTTTTGTCAGCAGTGGATTTAGCCCTGATACTCTGCCATTGAGGCTGTTTCAGTCTTAGTTTTTTTTTAATC